AGCGCGGGGCCGCCCCTGAGGGCCGCTCTCACCCGGCCGGCGGTCTCCAAGCACGGTGCTAGGCTGCCGTTACCCGCGCACGGGAAGGCAGACTCCAGTCGATTCTTTTCAGCCATCTATGGACTGGACTGCTTTGAGGCTCTGGGGAGGCAGAGCTGCCTCAGATACGTTCGCTGGAGTTCACAGTCGTGGAGAGACTCTGACTGATGACGGCGGTACTCCGCGGTGAGAAAGGGAGAGACCCAGGACGGCCACTCCTCGGTGGTCCAGAGTGGAGGCAGAGGGAGAACAGGCCAGATAGAGCTACTTGAAAGCTAATTTCTGAGGTAAGTCTAGAAGAATAAGTAACAAGAGGCAGGTGAAGAAGACTCTTCTTCCTGATAATGGTAGGCTAGGAAATTTGGATCAGTCCCCCTTCTGGAGGGATTGATGTTGAGTTGTTTTTACTCACAACACTTCTCACACCAAATGGGGGGAGGGGGGTTTCCACACCAAGCAATTGTCCAGTTCTTCGCAGACATCAATTGGGTACCCTGTAATTCAGTTCAATTCTGACACTACCCGGAGTTAGCTTCAGACTCCACAGGTTTAAGGGCTCGGCACCTTAAGACTGCCCTTACTTCAAATGCCAGTCGTAAGTATTAGGTTCCCATGTTATTCATACTTTTTTTTTTAATATTTTATTTATTTATTTGACAGACAGCGAGAGAGGGAACACAAGCAGGGGGAGTGGGAGAGGGAGAACAGGCTTCCCACCGAGCAGGGAGCCCGATGCGGGGCTCGATCCCAGGACCCCGGGATCATGACCCGAGCAAAGGCAGACGCTTAACGACTGAGCCACCCAGGCACCCGTTATTCATACTTCTGTCCAACTTGGCTACAAAGCCGGGGGGTTCATGCAACCCTTCCTCCCTTTCAAGTTCAGTCATTTGCTAGAACAACTCACAAAACTCAGGAAAGCATTTTGCTTAGTATTAACGGTTTAGTTGTAAAGGATACAGATCAGGAACAGGAAAATGGAAGAGATGTATAGGGCAAGGTATGGATTGGACCGCTCCAGGCACACCACTCTCCCACACTTCGGTGTGTTCACCAATCCAGAAGTTCTCTGAACCTCTCACTTCAGGGTTTTTATGAAGTTTCACTATGTAGGCATGGTTATTGGTGATTGATGAGCAAATCATTGGCTATTGGCTATTGTACAACCACCTGTGTGGTCCAAGAAACCTCAAGTCTTGAACTCTGACAAAAGTGGTTCAGAACTGTTAGTGCCCAGATGGCTGAAAGAAGAAAGGAAAGTGCTCTCTGGAAGAAAGGATCTGCATCGTAGTTCTGAAGTTTTTCCCTACAATTAATTTTGCAAATACATAACCAACCCAGGGACACCTGGGTGGCTCAGTCATTAAGCGTCTGCCCTCAGTTCAGGTCATGATCCCAGGGTCCTGGGATCGAGTCCCACGTTGGGCTCCTTGCTCAGCGGGAAGCCTGCTTCTCCTTCTGCCTGCCATTCGCCCTGTTCATGTTCTCTCTCCCTCCCTCTATCTGTCAAATAAATAAATAAAATCTTTAAAAAAAAATACAATAGCTAAAAGTAATTCCTCAGTGTACACATTTAATAGAGTAGACACAGGTGAAGAGAAAATTAGTCACCTGGAAGAGGGGAAGAAAAGTAAGGATAAGAGTGAGACTATCTAATAGAGGCAAAGAGAAAAAAGAAAGACTAGGGCAGCACCATTAAGGAGACAATGGTGGAGAGTTGTCAAGAACTGATGAAAGACACCAACCCACAACAAAGTCTAAAAAGGTTAAATCAAAATAAATCCACACAAAATGACTCAAGTATGTACTGTCTCCAAGAAATTCACTTCAAATAAAAGAATATAGGCAGGTCGAAAGTAAAAAGATAGAAAAATATTTCATGAAAGGAAAATAGGAGTAGCTCTATTAATATCACACAAAGTAGGGGCACCTGGGTGGCTCAGTCAGCTAAGCATCTGATTTTGGCTCAGGCCATGATCTCAGTGTCCTGGGATTGAGTCCCGCATGGGGCTCCCTGCTCAACAGGGAGTCTGCTTCTCCCTCTCCCTCTGCTGCTCCCCCTGCTTGTGCTCTGTCTCTCATCTCTCTCTCTCAAATAAATAAATAAAAATCTTTTAAAAAAATAAAAGTTTTATTCAAGGCCTCAACAAAAACAGGTTACCGAATATTCTGTTGATAGCAAACATCTGTTGCGCCACTGCTCTGTGCCCCATGCCAGGCGCAGGAGGCAATTTAAGTTAATGCTTGGTGGCCTCCAACCTGTGAGCGTAGCAAATTCAAAGGCTGCGGGATGAAGTGTATCAGCCACCTCTGCTAATGTACTTGAATTTCTTACAACGGTGCCATTGTTGGAGGGTAAGGCTGCAGTGGGCACCCCTCCCCAAGATGGCTCCTTCCTTTTCCGTCCTCCAGGGTGAGGGCTTTCATCCCCTGTCCCCTCGGGGGTCAGCATCGCCTCTCCAACATAAACTCCACAGCGGCACAATCCAAGCCACGCCTGAGACATCATTTTTCTAAAAGCCTAATAAGGAGTGATGTAACGCAATCCACCATGAGCGACCTTCCTCGTGGCTAAAAGTACAGATAGACCCTTTGAGCAGTAGGTAGACCCATGCAACCAATTCGTTCTTCAAGTTACCTACTCAATAAATCGGCTTTGTTGCAGGCGCTGGGCTAGTCAGGTGAAAATGGCAGTTTACTTAAAATGCGCGTGGGACAAAGATCTGCACTGCAGCGGGGATGTGTGAGAAAACCCCCGTGAGAAAACGCAGAGATCCTAGAATAAAACCACGTGGAACTGGGTTAACAGAGATGCAAGAGCACCTGACTCTGCAGGTCCCAAACAGACCAGTTTGGACCACTGGCTCCTGCCACAATCCAAAGGCAAAGATAAGTGATGGTGAATCACGAAAAGTATTTCAGCGAGGGTGGCACAAAATACTTCTAAGTTTGTATCAACCAAACGTGGTGGATAGTTACAATAATGACAAAAATCAGAGAAACCATCATTGTTTCAAAAACCAATCACACAAAAACAACCCGACTTCACACCACCCAACCCTCTAAAAAGCCATCTAATTAGAACACCTAATCTGAGCTAAAAAGCTATCATAATTTTATTTCTACAGAGCCTACAACATAAAAGCGGGAAACGCAAACACCTGTTTCTAACACACAAATATACAAAGCTCTGCGATAAGTTCAAACAAAAGTCTATCATTTTAACACACGTTAGCAAGCCCTGCGAGCGCAAGGCCTCAAAAAATTGGGTAAACACTCAGAATTGTTCCTCTCCACGGAAATCTTTAGTAAAAGGCGAAAGATTTATACGATCTGAAGAGAAACCAGAGCATGCTCCCTAAAACGCTCACACAGCCCACGGGTAACTGTCACTCCTAGAACAGCAATGGTAGTTACTTAGCCAAAAGAGCCAGTGACTTCTGCCTTTATCTCAGGCAATTCTGTGATGGCAATCTGATTTCTGGGGAGGGGGGGGAGTTGAAAGAAAAAGAAAAATCTAGCCGTTTTTAGAAAAAGAAATACCGTGTGCAATGCATTGTGGGTATGTAAATGAAGCTTAGTCACCAGCCTCCGGTTGCCGTAAATTCCTTAGTTCGTTTTCCTGCTAGGCCTAGAGTCACCACCAGAGGGCAGGGCAGAAGCCAGATTTGCAGGGACATAGACGCCTGGTCCAAACAGTCTCATTTTTTGTTGTTGTTTTCATTTTGTTTTATAATTGACACTCCAAGGTAAAATTTATCTTGAATAAAAATTAAAATTGAACTTTTTTAAGTCTTGAAAATAATTGTCTTCTTGCATTCATTCAACAAAAATATATTGAACACTGTGTCAAACCCTGTGCTGGGCCTTAGGAATGTGTGGTGAGCACTGACAACAGAATGTTCAGTGACACATGGGCCAAGCATGAAAGGATTCATCAAAGTAGGGTGGTGAGGGCATTCGGGGCAGCACCATAAGCCGGGGTAGTGAAAGGGCAAGTGGCCCAGATTTTGATGGGCCTTCAATGCCAAGCAAAGAGCTTCCACTTACCATGAGGGCAATGGGGAGCAATTGAAACTTTTTAAAGGACAATAGGATCAGATTAGTGGTTTGAAGCAGCATCAGCATCACCTGGTGTTATTGGTGTTATGAGTTGAATTGTGCCTCCCCAAATTCATTTGTTGAAGTCTTTATTCCCAGTATCTCAGAATGTGACTTTATTTGGAAATAGGGTCATTCCAGGTGTAATTAGTTAAGTTGAGGCTTCCAGAACTGTGAGACAATTCATTTCTGTGGTTTAAACCACCCCGTCTGTGGTGCTTTGTTATAGAACTCTAGAAAATATACCTGGGTACTTGTTAGAAATGCAAATGATCAGCCCTCACCGCAGGCCTACAGAGTCACGGGGGGGAAGGGGGACCCAAGTGTCTGGGTTAACAATCCTCGGGTGATTCCGATGCAGGCTAAATTGAGAACCACTGAACAGCCGCTGCTCCGGCTCAGATTTGGAGATTATAGCGAGCAAGAAGTTGAGAGACAACTTAGGACACGAAGCAGTAAAGCCAGAGAGAAATAAATGATGGCTCAGACTGCCCAAGGAACGAGTGCAAGGTGAGGAGAGGCAAACCACTCGGAGAGATCCCTAAAAAACAGTGGCAGGGGGCGCCTGGGTGGCTCAGTCGGTTTAAGCGTCCGCCTTCGGTTCAGGTCAAGATCCCAGCGTCCTGGGATCGAGTCCTGCATTGGGCTCCTTGCTCAGCAGTGGGTCTGTTTCTCCTTCTCCATCTGCCCCTCCACTTGCTCGCTCGCTCTCTTTTTCTCTCTCTCAAACAAATAAATAAAATCTAAAACAAAAAACAGTAGCCTACAGGAGCCCCTCGGCAGGAGCATGTGCAATTAATTAGGAAAGCTTGGCGGAAAACCAGGAGCGTGAACCAAACCGAAACCAAGGGCAGGAAAGACGTTTCAGGAAGGGAGTGGCCAGTTGTGTCCAATGCGGGAGATGGGGCGGCCAGGTCCGTGGGCTTTAGCAGCGCCGCAGTTGCCGGGGACCTGGCCAGAGCGGTTTCCAGGGAGGGGGGCGCGGCGGCAGCCGGGCTGCGGGGAGCTGGCGGGGAGCGGAGGTCAGGAAGCGGGCTGGCGGTGCGGGCAACTCTCCTGAGAAGGCTGGCCCTGAAAAATCAGAGAGACCTGAACAGTCCGTTTCTGGAAAGGCGGGAGACCGAAGGCTAGCCCTCCGCTCCCCCCCCCCGCTTTAAGGTTAGCATCTCGCCGAAGGGAAGGAGCCGGTCAGGGGACCGAGGGAAGAAGGTCCAGGAGACTGGAATTAAACGGTGCGGGGGGGGGGTGTGGCGAGGATGGTGGTCCACCTTGGGTGCGAGGGAGACCTCGGACTCCGACTCTGTCACTCCGGCGACAAGTGGGCGGAGGCGTGCGCGTAAACCCCACCGTGGTGACGGGCCGCGGAGCTGGGCCCCCCCGGGCGGCGCTCCAGCCCTCCAGCCTCCCCTACCTCTCCGCAGCCGGCGAAGCCCCAGCCTTCCACCCTCTCAGCAT